TGACAACAACACAAATAGTAACACGTATTACATTGATTTTATGTTGAATCGAGGACATCATGGGTGATGATGTTGAACACCCCCCGAATTTGCAAAACGAAAATCCTCAAATCGTATCTGATGTATTTACTACCGGTAAGTAGCTCTGTCCGAAAGTACACCATTCACCTTTCTCGAGGTTTGCTCAGGTTACTTTCATTTTCAGGAAGATTCGGCACACTTTTATAAATTTCTTATCATTTCTTATAATTTACCTTTGATTATCAGGCAGGCATATATATCTTATCAATGAAAGAAGTACAAGTGAATTTAGGTCGATGTAATGAATCAATAAAATAAAATCTATTTTTTTTCATTTTACTAGAAATCACTAAGATATTTTATCTATTTCTCATAACAGATTTGTTGAAATTAGTAAATGTACTGTGAACAGAATAGTTCATATCACTTTATTTCAAAGCACTAGCCCCATGTAGTAGAAATTTCCCCTAGGCGATAGGCTGTAAGTCTAGATAGTGAAAGATCACAAGTTCTCAAGTCCCAGCGTGTGAAACAGGGTAAGTGAAATCAAGATATTGAAACAAATACCAAGTACCCACAATAGTGGTGGTTTTAGTCTGTATGAGAGAGGGGGATATGTAAACACATTGAAAACAGGATACATTACTAGATTAACATCTTCTAATTTGGCAAGAGGGAATGTTAGGAGAAAGTATACCATAAAAACCTGGATTGTAGTTTTTTGGAGGCAAAGCCTTGGTGAATGAGAAATGGCTGCAGAAATAGAAAGCGCAGTTTCTTGAGGGAGTGGGTCATCTTACTAATGTTGGCTAATATGTATTTCTATCATAAATTAGCCAACTAGTAACTTGGTACATGTATATCAGTCTCTATAGTAAAAGGTCACCAGTAAATCCCATGAAGTGACATAATAGGACAGGGAATTTGTCATTTCACTTCCTCCTGCTATTCATTAAAACCTAATAACAGAAACTGAGCAGATTTTTATCTACAGAATATAGTTTATTAGGTTGCCTGAGCTGAAGGTCATCATGATTTGTCTGTTGTCGTGCGGCGTTAACTTTTCACATATTCGACTTCTTATCAAGAACCACTTAATGGATTTTGACCAAACTTGGCACAAAACATCCCTATTGGAAGCCGCTTCAAGTTTGAGAAGAAATAGGGTGTGGCACCAATAGGGGCCTCACGAGAGGGGACAAGGGGGTAAAATTAGGTAAATCTTTAAAAATCTTCTTCTCATGAACCAACAGTCAGATTAAATTCATATTTGATATTTAGGGTCCTTATGGCATGGTCTACAAAGTTTTTGAATGAAAAAAAAAATCGGATCAAAAACGGCCCCACAAAGGGGCGCTCCAAAGGGTAAAAAATTCAACTTTGACCGATTTCAACCAAATTTGTTAGAAAGCATCCCTTAGTGAAGGACATATGAAATAATGTTGAAAAAAGTGATTATGTCCCCTTTGGGGCCCATAAGGGGTGTAAAAGGGGCCATATGTAAAAACCTTCTTTAAATGACTTCTTCTCACGAACCATTAGATGAATTTTGACCAAACTTGGCACAAAGCATTCCCATGGGACACCGCTTCAAGTTTGTTAAGAAAAATGGCGTGACCCCAATAGGGGCCGCAGGAGGGGGAAAAAGGGGGGTAAAATTAGGTAAATCTTTAAAAATCTTCTTCTCATGAACCAACCGTCAGATTAAATTCATATTTGATATTTAGGGTCCTAATGGCAAGGTCTACGAAGTGTGTGAATGAAAAAAAATCGGGTCAAAAACGGCCCCACTAGGGGGCGCTCAAAAGGGTTGAAAATTCAACTTTGACCGATTTCAACCAAATTTGGTAGACAGCATCCCTTAGTGACGGACATATGAAATTATGTTGATAGAAGTGATAATGTTCCCTTTGGGCCCATATCGGGTGTAAAAGGGGCCATATGTAAAAACCTTCATTAAATGACTACTTCTCAAGAACCAGTGGATGGATATCGACCAAACTTGGCACAAAGCATCTGCATGGGAAGCCGCTTCAAGTTTGCAAAGAAAAAGGGTGTGGCCCCAAAAGGGGCTCCAGGAGGGGGGAAAAGGGGAAACTTGATACGAATGTTCTACACAAGGTCCTGGCAAGTGTTTTAACTTTTTGTGGTGATTCAAAATCCAAGATGGCCTCTGTTTGGCTAAGACATTATGGACTTCCTCTCAAGAACCATTGGGTGGGTCATGTTCAAACTTGGTACAGATGTTTTGCACATGGTCCTGCACAAGTGTTGTTACATTTTTGTAACATTTTAAAATCCCCAGATAATTGATATATATTCCTCAGGTGACTGTTAAGGCCCCTTGGGCCTCTTATTAATATTTTGTTATCAAATTAGCTACCATTAAATTGATATGTGTATTGTTTTACAGTAACACAGATATTGCAGCAGTATGGCTGGTTCATAGTGTTTGGATGTCTTGTCCTGCTCTACATTCGCTCGAAAGTTAAACCAGCATACAGTCAGATGAAAAAGAGAGCAGAAGAAAGCAGGGACAAAAAAATTGGTATACTTTTTAGCTGTCAACAGTTTACTGAATATGTAGTGAATATTTTAAGGTTTATTGTAGGTGAAAGAGTATTTTCTATTCTGATACATAGTATACTGATTACTAACAAAGATATTTAAATCGGTCATTATCTTAAAATCAATATAACTAGTCCATCTTTTCCATTCCCTGATATCTAGGTTTTCTTCTCCATGTTATCTAAGACATTATCTCCATAATATGTAGGTCAACTTCTCAATGCCATGACATCTAGCTATATCTTTTATCTTCTCCATATCCAACTGTCTTGGCCATTCTCTCAGTATTAATTTTATTTTCCCTTTCAAGAATGGCATATATCAGCTTTTGTGCAATTCAATAAAATCACTTTTAGGAAACCAATGTGTATAGGTACTCAAAAAATCTTAAACGCCAACCTATTTCCTCTTGCATTTCTTTTTTGTTGTGTACAGATCCAGATGTTGCCCAGAGTCGTATGGAAGCCATGGAAAGGGCGAGGCAGAGACTGCAAGAGGAGCATGATGCAAAAGCATCACATTATGCTGAAAAACAACTTCTTGTAAGCAAGAGTTACACCCCTTTTGTTGTGAATTTGAAGTCATGTATAACAAGAACATATCATTTGTTTCTTTTCAAATATCAAATTCAAAGGTCTAGTTGTATTGCTTTAAGCTTTACAGAAATTTTCTGCAGCCTCTAAGTGTTATGCCAACAAAGAGGTCTCAGAATTGATGATTCGAAAAAAGTAGATACTTACTGGCATCTATCTGGTACCTGTGAAGAGACAATTGATTAAAGCACTTCTCAGTGTCATATACATTGTATCTTCATATATACAATAACTTATATTCTTAGGCATCACTATCACTCTCAGATAACTTGGAATTTTCATTCCCGGAAACTGAATACAGTTTGTAATTAGGTGAAATGTTGATAATTCCTCTTCAGTTTGTATGAAAGAATGATGTACATTAGGATTCAATTTTGAAGAATCAGAATGTAATGATCATTGTTACAGGCATTAGAAATAAAAACAAAAAAGAGGGTGTACTTTTACAGATCAATGAAAAAGTATTTACTTTATATCTAACCAGTTGTATATTAATCTGGGATTATTACAAGTCCTGGGCTTATTTCCAGTTAGATATATTAGATATAATTAAGTATACAATGCACAGTAGATGTCCAACTCCTCTGAAGAAAGTTGTATATATTGTGTTGGAAATGTCCAACTCTTTTATGCAGAAAATCATCTAAGCACTGCAGTGTATCAAGCAGAAATTTCTGTATACAATGTACGTAGAATGTCCGGCTCTTATATAGAAAATTGTTTATATGTAATACAGTAACTGTACTGCTCTTGGTTGTCATATTTTCTATTTAAACAGGTTTAGCTCGCCTTGCAGGAAGGGCCAAATGAGCTTTTGTCCATCCTTCCAGCAACTTTTTCTACAAATAGCTAGTAGTCAGGAACGATTAAGCTGATTTTGACAAAAGTTGGTACGAAGAATAGATGAGGGAAAGGGAATTTGTTTAGCATAAACAACATGTCCTGACGTCCTGAATATAGCATATTCTTAATATCCTTCTCCTGTGGTAATGATTAGATTTTACTCAAATTTAGTCTGAAATATTGATGGGAGAAGGGAAATCAAGTTTGTATAAAGAGTGGAAATATTGGAAATATGGCCAATTCTTTAAGATATTATTTATCCTGTAGACATGATAGGGTCTGGAGTATGAAAGGTTTGGCTGACATCATGAGGACAGATGGTTGGGATTCAATAGGAAAATTTTCATGCATTGAGTTGTGTGCTTGGATATTGAGAAGTCCTTTAGTTTTAATGAAGCAATTTCAGCCAAGAAAAGCCAGATGAGTGATACAGGCGCTATGTCATTTTTGTTGTTTTGTGTCATTGAAGGTATGTTTAAAGAATCTGCTAGACAATTGAGTGTATGTATGAAACTCAGTCTCATTTGTTGTCTGTATATGACATTACAGAAAGAAGAAGAAAAAAGACAAACAAGGATTGAAGAATGGGACAATCTCCAGCAAGGCAAAGCATATCGGTCTAAGATTAAACCTGTAAGTACACTCCTTAAAGCAAACGTAAAATATTTAAGTCTCCCTTGACCTGTTTTAAATATAAAGCTTGTGTATGGGAAACTGCATGTCATATATATTTTAAACAGATGTAGTTCACAATAACAATGAAGCATCACCCCATCAAGTTCAACATGTGACTAGAGTTTGGTTCTTCCTAGACAGGGGTAAGCTAGGAATTTACTGTTTACAATCTTAAAGATAAGAGCTTATATACAAGTTATTTTATGAATATTCACACCATATCATCATATTTATAGTCAAGGGTCACCGGTCAAGGTTAAAGGTCATAGGTCACTATTTACCATTTTTTAGTATCTTCGATACTCCAGGAGTTATTTTGTTCTCTTCACCTCATGTTATGGCAAAATTGAAGGTTCCATGTGTGAATCTGGAGGTTGCATAACAATATATTGTAATGGCTTTGAATTTAGGTGTCACTCCTTTGTAATATTCAAAAGGAGCGTATCAGCTTCTGATTAGTTATTTTTTTCTCTTAGAACTAATCCAGTTACTTCCATTGTGCCTTCAATTTAGCCACAACATGTGCCAGGGGTGTAGGGAGCAAAAGTGACTCACTCCTGGACTATCGTGGATGACTTTTTAGATAAAAACTTGTGTATGGTATATCTTTTGAATCTGTAGTCAGTTTGTGTTCCTATTCTCACCATGTCAATACACCATCAAGCCCTACATATGGAAAGGCTTTGGTTGTCACTGGTCAAGGTTAAAGGTCAAAAGTCACTGTTTATCACTTATAAGATAAATGCTTGTGTACAAGATATCTCTTAAACTCCTAGACAGATTAATTTTCACAACCCTTCTAGCTTGATTTCTATTCCTTTTCTTTTTTTAGTTGAAAGTTTAGTGTGCAATTTTTCTTGGCTTTATCTTAGCTTGATTGATATTTAAGAAATCTGTATCTACTTTAAAGTGTGGAGCTGTTTTAGTAATATGAAATGGGTTTACGCATTTGTTTAAAACCAAACCAAACATTAGCTTTGCATGCAGAAGCAAGTCTTTAGACCAGATATTGTAGAATCTAGTCGGTAAATAAACCTGGACACAAAATAAGGTTCATAAAAAAGCCAATCATCAAGCTCAGCTTCAGCCAATTACAACTGTTGGTCCTTTGAAAACTCATTAATGATACTATGGGCCTAAGGATTCATAACATAAGAAACGAATGACACAAAAAAATTAAATTTCATGATTATCAGAATTGAATGATTTAAGTGTACATTCTGCGGATAACATTGTGAAAAACCTTCATGAAAAAATTGGGAACATTTTCAAAGCTCCTTTTTCTTAGTACACAGTGTTAATTGTGAATTGTAAACACATTTATCAATATTCATGCAGTTCTACCTTTGAATATTTAGATTATAGTTTAGGGGCTATACTGTCTTAAATCTAAGAAAGAAACACTGTGTATTCAGAAACCTGGCATGATTGATAAAAATGATTAGGAAAATTAATTTAGTAGCAAAAACATCATTTCAAAGAGAAATATAAACAGGGTTTGAACACTGTATGATCCTCAGAAAAATAACATTACACTGATAGGGATAAGTGCATTTATTGGGTCATAAAAAGTAATGACAACCTGACCACATAGATAGCCAACAATCACAGTTATGATAACTAGATCAATGCAAGAACCAACAAGAAGAGTGTACGACAACCAGATCAGTGAAATGGCAACAAATAGTGTTTGTGATAACCAGACAATTGCAGAGCCAAAGTAGAGTATAGACTACCAGACCAGTAAAATGGCAACCAAATAGAGTTTGTGATAACGAAATCCATGTAGGGCAGAAGAGTAGAATATATGAAAATCAGACCAGGAAAAGAGCCAAGAAATAGAGTTTATGATAACCAAAGCCTTGCAGAGCCAAAATGAAGGTTAAACGACAACCAGACCAGTAAAAGGGCAATATGTAGAGTTTATGATAACCAAAGCCTTGCAGAGCCAAAATGAAGGTTAAACGACAACCAGACCAGTAAAAGGGCAATATGTAGAGTTTATGATGATCAATTTCATGCAGGACCAAATAATATGATATATGACAACCAGACCAGAGAATTGGCAATTAAACAGAGTTTGTGAAAACCATTTTCATGCAAGGCCAAAGAGTAGAATATATGAAAATCAGACCAGGAAAAGGGCCAAAACATAGAGTTTATTTCAACCAAATCCATACAGAGCCAAAGTAGAATATAGAACTACAAGACCATTAAAATTGCAACCAAATAGAGTTTGTGATAACGAAATCCATGCAGGGCCGAAGAGTAGAATATATGAAAATCAGACCAGGAAAAGACCCAAGAAATAGAATTTATGATAACCAAAGCCCTGCAGAGCCAAAAGGAAGGTTAAACGACAACCAGACCAGTAAAAAGTCAATATATAGAGTTTATGATAACCAATTTCATGCAGATCGAAAGAGTAAAATAAAAGACGCCCAGAAAAAGAGCCAACAAAAATGTATGTGATAACCAGAGTAATGCAAGAGCCAATCTGTAGGGTATGTTACAACGAGACCAGTATATGACAACCAGATTGATTAAAGTTTCTAACAAGTAAAGGTGTGACAACCAGGGCAATTAACTGCAAACAGGTCGAGTGTATAACAACCAAATCAGTTTAAGAGTAGCAAGGAGAGAATATATCAACGTGGAGGATTCAAATTAGTCTAACTGAAGGGCCACCAAATAATATTTTTCATTCTACCACCCGTTTCCCTTTTAGTTCTATGTATAACTAGATGGGAGTATATCAGGCTATGAACGCCCACCTGGTCAAGCGTATGAATACACACTCAGTGGTCAAGGTGAGACGTCCACCAAAAAGTATTTTTGGTTGATATAAAGCTTCGCCTATACATTTATATCATTGATACGCAAAAATGTAGTATATGAAGCTGTGTACTGCAATTCACAGTCTGTATGAATTGATGAATCTAGTTGTCTCTTAGGTTATCAAAGCTGGCCGCCAGTTACTGTCGCTTCGGCATCGATATATATATAGACATATCCGATGATTTTGGACTTCAGAAAGACCTTCACAAAATTTTGCAACTTAACAAAGGGATCATATTATAATAGAACAAACTTATTGTCAAACATGTAATTTTGCCACAAAATCATTATTTTCGTCATAACATACTAGATCACCAAGTTGTCAACTTCGTCTGCTACACTAGACATCGATCTGATTGTCCAAATTACAAATGTAGAATATGTTACAAACAAAATGTCGTCACTTACTGACAGAATTTACTTCCATTTTCCGTGATAATTCTATTCTGAAAATCCACTTCACTTCATAAAAACGTTAATAATTCCCGGAGATGTACTAAACGCTTCGTTTCGTAAAATCTGTACGAGAGCCGCATCACTTTTTAATGAGATTTCGGTACGCAATGAACAACTGCTTTTACTTCAAATGAAATAAAAAAATAATGTTATTATTCAAATAATTACAAGAGTGTACACTTTTATATCAATAATCAAGTTAAATTTGTAACTATACTATTTCATACAACTGCTATTAATGATAACAAGAGGAACTATATAATTACGACTCGTGTCGGATTTTAACTTGCTGACGTCAGTATTTGGTTCAGCGGGATATTTAAACAACGTTTGCCTGGTTTTTGTTTTGATTTTTTAATAGATATTTGAGAATGGAAATATAAATAATAAACCGGAAGGAAGATAAATATGCATGGCGCCCTCTATATATCTTCTACACGGATACGATTAATATCATATCTCTACCCCATCTGGTTACAGTATATCGTTTACTGGTATATGACATTGAGGCCAAAGAAAGGGCCACCAAAATAATACTGTATATGACAAGCAGACAAATTAAAGAACCACCAAGTCGTGTATATGACAGACAGGTCTATTATGGAACTATTAAACTGAACATGGTAATGACATAATTTGGTCTCAATTCCAACTTCTTTGTTTCTTTTCTTATTTCTGTAACAGCTGCTGTTATCACTTCATGTTGTTGTATATCACTTTTTGTTCTGCTAGAAAATGTTCTTTTTGGTGGTCTTGGAAACTTTCGTTGTCCATGTTTTTCTTCTCTCTGCTGGATTACATTTTTCCTTGACTCGAAAAAAAAATCAAATCTTCACACGATTACTTGTAATCATAAGAGAATATCACTTCATAAATCTTTATTTTGTTTTTGTGTATCGAAAATAATCTTCATGGACCCATAAAAAGATACAATGTACTTGATTTAGGTGTTATTGTGACATTTTGTACTTCAGAACCTTTATCGTCGTTTAAGAATGCGGGGGACACGTGTGGGATTTTTACCTTACAAAGCAGGTCTAAAATTCTGCGGTGTGTGTTGCTACTGTTCGGAGCATAGGTTATATATTGTACACTATGCTACTATGCATGTATTCAGAATGTGAACGGCCTTTGAAATCGACATGAAATAACGTTACGATTAGTATTTACACGAAGTTTACACAAATGACGCGCAAGAGTAAATATCAGGAGAATCAAGTTATGACTTAAATAGCTTTATACAAATATTTTACCCTTCTAGGTCTTGTCACTGATGCAAAATGCTTACGATTTTTGAACCTTGAGAAAAAAAATAGTTTTAAAATTTAAGTATATGTGCAATGTGTTACAACCATATGTATTTCCGTCTCTCTTTTTCTGTGATATCCGTTGACCATTCTGTGTTTGTGGTATGCCAAGGTTCGTAAGAGCTACAGAACAACACCAGGTATCTTCTAATACTGTAGGGGTTATACAGCTACAAACAGCGAACTTACCAGCTTTCATTACCTGGCTTTCTGCAAAACATTTTGTTTAGAAAATAACGATCAACTTTCTGTATTAACACTATATTCCTTCCGTTGTTTATAAGACCAATTTATTGGGCAATTAATTAGAGCTCAAATTTTTCATCCTGTTGAGAAATCCTGGATGGCTTTTGTGAT